AGGAAAAACTTAAAAAAAAAAATTAAGAAAAAAAAAAAAAAATCAGATGGGCCTTTTTCATGTTAATTGACTGTTAAGGATAGAGGGCCCACTTCTCCAGGATGGCATGAACTATCACAGAGGTCAATGGGAATTGGAACTATTCAACATTTCACAGCATCCTATTCATACTGGGAGAAAGAACCAAGATAGAGGTTATAATATTAATAATGACAAATCAATAACTACACAAGAGAGCATGAGAATTTAAAACAACCAAATCTTTTTAATTAGAAAGCAACAAACATGCAGATAGCAGGTATAGAAATTTATTTGAACCAATGTTTTTTTTTTTTTGTTTTTTTTTTTACTATAATGAAAGTTATTTTTAAACATTGATCCAAGCTCCCAAGTTTGCAAGTTAAGGAAAATATTGCACTTTGCATCTTCTAGCACCCCTCATACATGCCAAAACATTTTAAAAACATTTCTGCTTATTTTACTTGCACTCTCCCCCCCGAGTCATGCACACAATCGTTCAAAAACAAAATGTTAGGTTATCCAAAAGCAATACCTTAAAATTGCACTAAAGCTCTGTAAGGAAAAATATAATTAATGTCTTATACAAATTCCTTAACATCTAGGTGGTCACGCAGAAGAGACTGTTACTCTTCATCTTCATTTTCATTTTCCTGACCAGATCCTTCTGACCTGTCACCCTCCAATCGGTCTGTAAGACAAAAGAATCATTAGAAGTACAATTTAAAATAATTTCTAACATACTAGTTACAAAACTATGTATTCACTGCCTATTACAAAGTGCACCTAGGTACTACTGTAAAAGACAAATCTACTGCATGTACTGAATAGGAATGCTGCAACAACACAAGAAAGCAAGGACAGTAAAAACAAAGAAGACTAGAAATCGTAAGTACCAAGGGGATGAATGAGGCAACATCTAACTTGTGCCTTTTTTCAGCACAAAGGAAATGGGTTTGAGCACTTTAAAAAAGAAAGATAGGGAATCAATGAGGTGACTGGTCTCTTTAAGGCAGCTGGAGCTAAGGAAGCATTAAAAGACAGTTGTAAACAGAAATTTGCGTCTGTCAGAAAACTGGGGACACTGCTGTCAGTGATTCTAAGCTTCACAAGAGATGATTTTTGAGTAGCTGTCTAGAGAAAGAGCAAAATGAAAAGGAGATGCAGGAGGGAGGGAGCACAAAATTGGCTCAGGATATTCAAACAGTGCACCTCATCAGTTACCTCTTCAGCAAACCAACATTATTGTCAGAAATATGATTACTGAAGTGTAGAGTTGTTCTATCCTTGGAACAGAATATACCAAACAAGGAAGTCATAAATTGTATAAAGAAGCATATAGCATCTGACCATATATCCCAAGGAATCTTAAAAATAAAACAAGCTAATTGTGATAGTTTTGGGGTGATGTTTTAGCCACAGACAAGCTAACAGCGTTAGCTATGTTAATTTTGCAATAAATACTTATACTAGACAAGGATTATATATAGTACAGGACTAGGTGTGCACCTATAGACATTTTTGCAGCTGATACCAATACCTGATTTTTAAGGAGGCATATTGCCCGATACAATCCGATTTCCAATACCAGCTTGGCAGCATGGGGACCTGCCTCCAGCTGGTAAGTCTGGTGGGGTGGAACGGGAGAGGGGAGGTGAGGGACTGTGGGGGGGGGGGGGGGGGGGGGAAAA